GCGCCTGCCGTGCCGGTGGTGAATGAACGGTGCTTGTGAACGGCAGGCACCCCAGGTGTGGGGCTGATGGCCCACATCACCCCTCCATCCAGCACAACCTTGGGTCCGCCTTTCCCAGGGGACAGATTTGGGCTTCTTGTGCTGCCGCTTCAGGTGCTCTGCAGCCTCAGGCACTAATGACATTGGAATCACATTTCTTAGGTTTTCATGGAAACAGCAGAGACGGAAACTTCACTTTATGTACAAAATCTGGAGTTCCACATGGCGTCTTACGGGGCTCTGCTCTTTGTGAAGGGTGGCTGAGCACTGGAATAAGTTGCCCAGCGAGGTTTTGGGGTCTCCCTCCATAGAGATACTCGAAAACTGTCCACACACAGTCTGGGGCAACTGGATCTGGGTGGCCCTGCCTGAGCAGGGGTTGGACAGGACGACCTCCCAAGGTCCCTTCCAGCCTCGGCCTTGCTGGGATTCTGTGAGAGCAAATGAGGCTGTTTTTACACCACGAGGACATAGTCAGGTGAGCTGTCCTGGCTATAGCAGATCCAGCTGGGACCATCTGCCTGCTCTCCAGCCTGCTTCTGTGAAAGGATCCCAATCACGTACCAGTCCCACGAAATAAGTTGCTTGGTTTCTCTTAGCCCAGCTCCATGCATGGGTGTGGAGTGGTCATCTCTGGCGGGGCTGGGGCAAGCAGACGGGTCAGGCTGTGGAGGTGCATCTTGTCAGCCAGGCACACTGCGGCCGGACCCTCATCCGTGGCCAGAAGGGCTGATGTGGGAGTCCCAGCTCAGCATCTGCACCTCCAGGCGTTGAAGGAGAAAATGCAGCTTCAGAGCAGGGAAACGGACCCTTTGCTTGCCCCCAAGCTCCCAGAGCACTTGCTCTGCTGTGTCTGGAGCTGAATGCCCTAAGAGAAGGCATAGGAAAGTGCTTGTGGTGGGCAGGTGTAGGGTAGTCCCTCTAGGGCAGCGTCATCCTGCTTGACAGATTGCCTGCAGCCTTCAACAGCAAGATTCTGCTCCCTGTCAGAGCTGCTCTGTTTACTATTCTGGAAATTTTGGATATTCTTGTAATTCGGAAACACTTGACCCATTTTGAATCTTTGAGTGATCTTGTCTTCTGTGACAGCTTCTAGTCCCAAAAACTCTCCTTTCCTGGGGGGGGTGGGGGTTCAAGCTCCAGGGCTCAGCTCCAGGGGTTTCCAGCTAGTGGGAAGAGGCATTTCCACCCAC